TGCTTTAGTATATGCAAACATATTTGTTGTCTATAAATTATTATATGTGCCAATTTTTATTGAAAACATTTACTTTTTTCAATGTTTTATTACATTATGCAATAGTTTTAAAAGGACAATTGGTCAAGCAAGTATCTTAGTGCCATGCACCAACTATGGCTTTGTCAACATGATGTCCCTCTTGTTTCATTTAAACCAAACTTTTTTCTTACCTGTTGATTGATTTTTAATAATGATATAGTGATAGAAAAGTAAAAATTAGTGGATGTTAATGATGAGATATTTGAGTAAATTATATTGGTTATCACAATAGAAACCATATTATGATGTGATTCTATACATCTGCCACTTGTTATTAGATTATCCTTTGTTCTCTCTTGCTTGTACTTTCTAAGTTTCTTTTGTTTGTTCTATCTTTTTTTTTTTTTTTTTTTTTGTCTTTGTTTGTTTTATTTTCTATTTTTCATTTTTTTTTGTCTTCTATTCTCTATTTTTTTTTTCTATTCTTTTTTTTAGATTTTTTTTTCTTTCTTTTTTAGCTTGTTCTCACTCTTTGACTTTTTTAGTGTCTCTCTCAACCATGGTCTTTAATACAACTATAACACCCTTGTAATGCAAGGCTTAGGTACTAGGATTTTTTATTCTCCAATTGCATTCCGTTTAGAGAAATGAGCAAAAAAATAAAGAATGTGAGAGAGATAATTTTGGAGACTAGGATTCCAAAAAAGAACCTCCTAAATTAAATGGAACAATTGCAATGAGATAACTTTGGCAATAAGCCTATGTCCTTGGCCACACTAGGTTTTTTCTTTTGTTTTCTCCCAATGAATCAATATTACAAGAAAATATTCTATTTATATCTAAAAGTCTAGAATTCTAAAAAAAACATGATAATTATAAAATTATTTTTTAAAATATTTATTAAAAGAAAATTTAAATTAGATAATATGATTTTAAATTTGTGTAATATATTTTATAACCTTAGTATCTTCAAAAATAATTTCAGAATATTTTGTTGTATTTACAAATAAAACCATACTAGACCAACAAATATCATTGAATATTTATAGATAAAGAAAGAATAAAGATCCTTATTTGCAGATTTTTTAGATTGACTATTATTCTTAAATTTAAAATTATTTTTTTATTCAATGTGTCTAAAGTATATTAAAATTATTAACGTGCTTTTATGTTCAATGTTTTTAGAAGAATGTTGGTAGTAAACTATAATATTTTAGCATCTAATTTTTTCTATGAAGGTATAAAATAAAACCTTGCATGCCATAAAAGTAATCAAGAGGTTGGTTGAAAATTTTCCACAAGTTAAGAAAAAATACAATGCAATAGCAAGGATGCCATTGCATATTAGTAGTTAATGCATTTAAAGTAGTAGATCCAACCACTTCAACCTTACAGCAATCCTAAATATATTAGAAATTACATCAATTTCTTAGTTTTAGTTTTTAGTTTTTAGTTTTTTTTTTAGGTTTTTACATTCAGCATTATCTAATAAAAAATACAATAATTACAATCATTCTTATAAATTATTAGGTATAATCCTTATTTACAATAGATGATCAAAATATTTATAAAATATACTAGTGATTTAAAGATTTAAATAAGAATTTGTACAATATATGATCTTATGTCAAAAAAAAACTAAGATGTATTTCATTTAATAATTTTTACTTAATATACATTTTTTCTTGTAGAATAGACCTTGTTATTATTTTATAATTATTATTTTTTTATAAAAAAAATAATTCAATTACACATGTTGAGTATCTATTAAATTAGAGATATTTGGTATAAACAATCTCAAAGTTGGTTGAAATAAAAAAAAAATAGCCAATATAAAATTAAATTACTAAAAAAGATTGATAGACATAAAATTTTATTTTATTTTATTTTAAAATTTTACACCTTTGATCCAAAATATATTATGTATATCTAAAAAATATAAATAAAAGATTAAATATGGCTATATAAAGATTATAATTTTAATTTATTAATCTACATATTTTAGATATTTTTAGAAAATTTGGATGCATTGATTGCAATATTTTTTCTATGATAAAAGACATACTTTGAATTGATTTTACAACTAATAAACTAAAATTTATTTAAAAAGAAACAAAAATTAGGTAATCAAGGCTTTAAGAAATGTATTGAAATAAATTTATATGTGGTCTACTTTTATGTTGTATTATAATATCTTTCACTAACAAGGTTGTCACTTCTAAAAGAAAAATCCTCTTATCTTCTTTAGATCAATATGTTGTTTTATAGTTCAATTCTAAAGGTTTTTTTGTAAGTGATTGCTATTTCCTAAATAAATATATGTGATTATATATATAGCTTTTATTTTTATATAAATTTCCAAATAGAATAAAATGTTGCCTCTGAAGTTTTGTATGCATTCAAAAATATATATATATATATATATATATATATATATATATATACATAGAATAAGATGAGAATAAAAAAAGAATCTATATCTATTTATTGAGTATGACACAAAAAATAGTTATTAATGCATGGAAGAAGAAAATTAGAAATCACATCAATGACCCTTGTTTGTTTGTTTGTTTGTTTGTTTTTTTGTTTTTTTTTTTGTTTTTTTTTGAGAGACAATTCTACATAAACTTTGGAATTATCTTGTTGCAAAATGGACTTGGAAGCAAAATACTATTACATTCTATAATCTCAACAAACAAAGCCTATGCAAGTTGATGTTGTTGACACTTAGTTTACAACTAATAACATTAAACAAAGCTATCAGCAATATAAATTAAATAAAGATATTTTAACCTCTTATAGTAGAATACAAGTTTTTAGATCATGGAAAAATAATACAAATGACGATATTTAAACAAGCAAACAGAAAAAAAACAGACACACTACAAATTTACATAGTAATATGATATAAATTAATAGATTATACTAAAAACATGTTGAAAAACTTCTTTAAGGTTCATTATATAGAATGTTACAACATGAATTATACTACCGAATTCATTTTTTTGAAATAATAAAAACTAGAGAAGATAAGTTAGAATTATAATTCTAAAGAAGGGTGTAACAGAATATTATACTCCTTCCTTAAAGGTACGCATACTTTGTCCAGAAATAGGGAGCCTTAAACTAAAGCTTCTTAATGTACCGAATCTTTTTTCATCAGCAAATGGATGCACCCCTTATGTTTTAGATAATCAAAACAAAACAACAACAATAACAACAACAACAACACATTGTTCACACGTTCCAGAATAATCAACTTTTCCTTTCAATAAGGATAAAAGCTAACACAAATGAATATGCGCAAAAACAAGCTCATAGTGCAGAAGAGCTGGAAAAGCAAAGTCTGCTGGAGCGAAGCACAGATTGTTGGTTATTTCTTATTCAGAACAACGCATGTGCACATTATGGTGTGTGTACAGCGATGGAGTGATGGAGTCTACGAAAGGGCCAGACAATGTAGAACCTGCACCACAAAGGGACCCCACCCACACTTAGCCCATCTCCAGTGAAGCCCTACACAAGTTTTGAATTAATGGCTCTCACATGTGAGATTGGGAAATGGTAGCGCCAGTCCCCTGCCACCCCCCTCAACGCCCTCCTTCAAGCATGTGAGCCAGCACCGTCACAGTACAAAATGATCAGTAAGTTGGTAGTCACAGATGTGCAAATTCTAGCTTCATTTACCACCACAAAAGAGATCAAAACGCAAAGTTGGAGAGCACTCCGAACGGTAATGTTAAGAGGCATCGATTGGGTGCTCAGAACACCATCAGGGCTCCTCCTCAACAACGCTGAGAGTCATGAATACTGTGGTTGTGGTGAAAAGAGAAAAAATAAAATAAAATAAAAAATAAAAGAAAAAGAAGCATTGGATACTGTCGACAGGGGGGAGTTTTATGATGATGAGTCAGTCAGTCTCTGCGCCAGTGCTCAGCTTGCTTTCAATGCAAAGAAGCGTGTTGCGGTTCGCGGTGGGTCACGATCATTGGTCTGCTTCAGGTGTACTAGTTGTTGAAGAAATATCCGGAGTGAATGTCAATCACGGCTCAAGCTCATTCTAGAGAATGTTAGTATTTTCCTACATCCCCCCCCCTCCCCGGTGTTTCCACTGATGGCGGAGATAAGTTGATGTTACACGAGAAGTCGACGTGCGTAATCACCGCATCAGCGGGTTGGACCTTGGAAGTTCTTGTTTGATCGTAGAGATCGCCCTATTTTGCTGTATTGTAACGTTTTTTAGCTGATGAGTAACTCGAATTTTGTGGAAAGCCCGTTTTGTAAGATGTAGTTTTCAAACTGGGATCATTAGAAACTTATGTGTTGTCAGGTATTTAATTTAATTTTTGCCCGATTCATTGTATACCAAACATTTTTGCGCGATTTCATACAATGTTTGGTATTCATACAATGTGCACTGCGTGAAGAAGTATTACTAGCAATGTTGACTTGTTTCAGCTTGAAGGGCAGAACCTGAATCTGTTACGAGTTTGGTGGCAGAGGACGACTAACTTTCAAGTGCAGGTTCGTCGTCACCTTGACAATGCCTGTGCGACCTCCTGCCACCGCATGATTTTGGCACAGCTGCCCCATTATGCGAACTACATAGCGGAATTAATACCCTTTTCGCGGACATTGGTAAAATCGCAGCCCACCCCTAGCTCCCAGAAGGTTTTTTTAATCCTAAAATAAGTTTACAAAAGAAAAACGAAAAAAGAAAATGAGTTCAACCGTACACAAACAAATGAGAAGTACGTAATCAGCGTTTTTTACATCCATGTTCCGATTTCCGATTCCCACACAAAGAGTTCCATGATTTAAAGCCAGTGCTGCGTCAAGTGGATGGAAGTAGGTGGCTCAGAGTTCTGCCGGGCGATACAATGTGAAAACCTGGTGTGGTCCGTCAACCTTTGTAATAAGTCATTGAGTTCGGACGTATGGATATGATGGTATAAACTACATTAAATTATATTCACCAGTAAATGTTCGTGATCACATTGCAGCAGCGCCACTGTCAAGACCGAGCTAGTGTAATGACAGGTTTGGTGGTCGGCAGACGTCATTCGCGTGGAGTTTAATGTAGCTGGCTGTGCTCTACTGAGGTGCCTTCAATGCTAACAGCTGTTTAGGGTAAAAGAATTAAACATCGTAGCTTGGCATTGCAATTTCCTCCCCAGCCACCCCCGACCTGCTTAGTTGAACCTGCTACGCCGAGATTTTGTTGCAATTTTCAGAACTTCCGTTGCTGGTTGCAGGGAAGCGCGTTGCGTGTGAGCTCCTTCAGCTCAGCTGCTGCAAACATGGCCGCAGTTAGGGGCACGAGGAAGGCTTTAGCAGCTCTGGTGGTCATGTTTGTGATGTGCACCGCTGCAGCTAGCGCCCAAACCGATTGCAGCACGCAGTTCAATGACTTGGCTTCGTGTTTCGATTTCGTGAACAGCAACATTACCACTGCGCCTTCAGCGCCGTGCTGCTCTGCTTTCAAAACAACTCAGGCTCAGTTTCCCGTTTGCCTTTGCCAGCTGCAACAAGCATTCAATGATCCCGCCACCGCCCCCGGGAACGTCACGCGAGCAAACCAGATTCCTGCTCTGTGTGCTGTTGCAGTGGACCCTAGCAGGTGCCCCGGTCTCCTCGGGCTAGCTCCCGTAGTGGCTCCTGTGGTAGCCCCTGTGGTGGCTCCAGTGGTAGCGCCGGTCGCTGCAACTCCGACAGCTACTCCAACAATTGCACCCACAACTCCAGCTCCCGCTTCAACTCCAGTGACGGCCCCTGCGGCAGCAGGACCCACAGGCATGAACGTCGACTGTTCGAATGAGTTCAACGAGCTTGCATCGTGCTTCGCGTACGTCACGTCAAATGACACTAAACCAAGTACCGACTGCTGCTCGTCTCTTCTCCAAGTGCACCTGAACAGGCCCGTGTGTCTTTGCCAAATCCTGAACGAGGTGAATAGCGGAGACCCGTCTACTGCCGGAATCAATGTTACCAAAGGTCTCGGCCTCCCCGCCGCATGCAACGTCAACGCGGACGTGAACTCCTGCCCAGCACTTCTGGGGCAACCCATGTCTTCGCCACTTCCAGAATCTCCGACGACTTCGCCTTCTCCAACATCTGGCGCAGGTGAACCTTCAGTTGTTGGCGGCGGCGGAGCTCCAGACTCCTCCAACGCTGGCGCTGAACCGAGCAGCGCCACTGCCCTTCACGCTGGAACCAGTTTTTCGATGCTTCTAAGTGTGTTTTACGCCGCTTTGCTCCACTTCATGTCGTAATTCTTTCGTAGCTCCTCCCCCAAGCATGTCACTTAATGTCGACTGAGTGTTTCAGGTCAATCCCGTTCATTCGATGAGTCGGTAACATGTTCACCGCAGTGGGAGTTCTAGCAAGCTGCAATGGCACTGTATGTGAGTCACGTTAACCCGCTACATCGAGCATTGTTATGCCCGATGGGTAGATTGTAGGCAGAGTTTTGGTTTTTGCACTAGCCAGCATTATTTGCGATTGCGTCGCGGTACTCGACAGAGGCACGAAGCTGTTCTCTGGTTTCAGATTCTTATCCTGCGTAGAAGGCAGGGATTTCGATGTACTTTAGCTCCTTTGAGGTGACTAGGAATACAAGCTAAGTGGCTGTGGCGTGTAGCACTTCATTTGTCGTACATTCGCAAGCCTCTTTGTTTGATGCATTCGTTTTCTGCTCGTGCTGTTTCATGCGTGATTTTCTGAGTGTTACAGCACAAAACTGAGAGTTCTAGTCCCATATGCTTGAGGGATCTAGAGAATTTTAATCTGGAATGTATCTCAGACCTTAACAATTATTTTAGTGTTTTCATTACCAGTTCACATAGGAATCCAGAAATAATGACTTGTAATATGCAACACTTCCACTGTTTGGACATGTCCTCCATTAACACTAGTATTTTAGTGCCTCCCCTTCAATGTAAACGCTGTTTTAATTACAAATCATGTCGAGCTTATGAATTGTCGTATTGATTGTTTGAACCGGTTCTGTGTAGATTTACTGTTAGTAGGATTTGGTGTTTTGCTGTTGAGCTATGTTTTTCTTAATGAAGGTTAGATGATTGATTTGATGAGGCTGCTGGTATATTACGTACGAGGTTATTTTGGTTGAATTCTCACTCAAACGCTGGTCTGCTGTGTTTTATGATGAAGCATAATAGTATCATTTTGTGAATGATTATGAAGAACTAATTATGTTGTGCACTTGGAACACAGAATAAGTAGTTTATTTATCTCGTAATGATTTTTAGAACGTTATTTGATTTTGAAGTTATGGAATTTAAAAATGTAGTGTATTAAATTTTGTGGCCATTAACTATCGAATGGACAAAACTCATTACATCATACTTTTGACATCACCAAAAGACTTACGAATTGACCTAACCAATTTATGCAAACATTAGATGGTTGTGCTTCTAAATATAAAACATTACTTCAAGCCTTGTCTCTGGAGATATAAATTCATATATTTCGTAGTATGAGGTAAATCATATATCCTAGATAAAATCACTATAAAATCTGCTTTAGAATATTCCGTTTTTGTACATGTAGATCAATTAAAATAGTTAGATTATCTGAACATATAAATATTAGATTTTTTTAAACAGTTATATTCAATGTTTAATCTATGATACAACTCAAGAATTATTACTCTGGTCTTGTAAGAACCATTTACTCAAAAATAAATAAAAATATCTTCTTCCTAGCAAAATTTTGTAAACCGGTTTTTACAACAAAAAGAATATAAATGAATATATATAAAATATTACTTATGTATCAATGAAGTAGACACATGTATTGGCTACATTTTAATTATGTATTAAAGTTTGAAGTAAATACTAACAATTACTTTTATGATTGAAATCATAGTTAAAATCTTCATTTTAAACATATATATGTATATATATATATATATATATATATATATAAGCCAAATTATTTTTGTAATAATTTGATTCATCAAAATTAAGAATTTATATATATATTATTTAATATGTATATATATATAATTATTTATTACTTAATTAATATCTAAAATATTTGATTGATGCAAACCTATTCAAATTTACAAATACTAATATCAAAATAATCATCAAAGAATACATATAAAAAAAATACATGTAATATTATTGTGAATATTCTTTGTGGCAAGATATGATTTGAATGTGTCTGACTACCCATTTATTTTAATATATGTGGCATCAAATTGAAATTTTTACTAAAATAAAAAAATATATATTTAAAATAAAAGAGCCATAAAAAAAAGTATGTTAGTTATGACAAGGTCATAACTTCAAAACTACTCACATGTCTTATGCTAGAAATTATCATAATATTATGAATTTGTAAAATCAAAATTCAAAAAATTTTAAAAAAATCAAAATACAAATTTTAAATAAATAAATTTAAAGGTTTTTTTAAAAAATATTTCTCTACAATAGTTGGAATATAATATTAATGCAAAATTCAATTGATTATCTAATAGATAGAATATGCATTATATTTAATGGTAATAAATAATAAAAATAAATCTATTATTTAACCTATTTTTAGTCATTCTTAATTTGATTTATGAATAATAGTAGTTTTAGAATCATGTACATTATCATTATGCGGACAATAAAATTTGATGGAAGAAAAAAAATTTGTCACAGATTGTAATTATCAATATTACATAATATGATAATATCTTATATATATATATATATATATATATATACACATATGTAGATATACACACATGTAATAAAATTTCGTTTTTATTGAAATATTTTTTACTTAAGTTTTATTAGAAAATAAATTATAAATATAGATTATAATTATTTATCTTGTTATCTGTACCAATTTTTAATTATTTGTATCTTAAATATAATAGTATGAATATATATATATATATATATATATATATATATATATTTATATATATGTTTATATATTTAATTATTTATTTTTAAAAAATAAACTATTATTTATAATCAAATTAGTGAAAAATTAGTACTATTGAATCTTCATACTTAGAGACTTTATTTAAATTAATTTTGTCCAAGAAAAAAGATTGATTATATTAATTTGCTTTTATCATAGCTTAAACTTTACCTTCAAAACACATCAGTGTAAAATACAGATGTACTTTTCTTATTTTACTAAATAATATAATAATAGTATTAAATTTATTTAGCTATAAATTTATTCAATCAGATATTTTTAAATTTAATTTAATAAACATCTGAATATTAATTATAATATTAATTAAACAAATAAAAATTCTAAATTCTAAATGAATAATTTTAAAAAGTAATTTATTAAATTTACTTTTTTTGTAATAAAATTCAAAACATATTTTTAATTCAAAATTTAATTGATTTAATATAGTTTTTATGTAAAGAAATATATTTTGTGGTTAAATTACTTTAATGATGAATTCACCATAATATCTCTCTGTGGCATCAAGTAGTCTTTTTAATTTGTAAAAAATTCAAATTTAATATATATATATATATATATATATATATATTTATATTTATATTTTTTAATATTTTTTAAAGTATAATTTTGAAACTTGAATTTTGAAGATTTATTCGAACAACCATATTTCAAAAAAAAATACTTATTATAAATAATATAATAATAAAGAAATTAAAAAGATATCTTATATAAAATAAAAATTAGATTTTTTAAATAAATTTTCTATAGAATAAAGTAATATTTAAATTTGATAGAAAAATATATAAATAAATATATATCTTTATTTAAAGTATATAAGCTAGAATGAATGCTATATTACATCTAATGAATGATGTCTTTTGTGATTTTCTTAATGAATTAGTTATTTGTTATCTAAACAACACCTTAATCTACTCTAAGAACACTAAAGAACATGAAGTTTATGTTCACCATCTGTTATAAAAACTAAGAGATGTAGGATTATATCCTAAGATAAAAAAGTGTGTATTTCAGATTACTCAAGTTCACTTCATAAGACACATTATTTCAAAGGATGGCTTTAAGATAGATCCTAAAAAAGTCTAGAATATCATGGATTGGAAGACCTCAAATACAATCAGAGATGTGTAATTTTTTTTAAGATTTGCCAACTATTATTGAATCTTTGTCAAGAACTTTTTTCAAGTTGCAGATCTTCTTATATACCTGACATATAAAGAAACATTTGAACAGAGTAAAAAAGTTGAAGCATTTATTGAAGCCTTAAAAATATTATTTATTTCTATACTAATTTTATATTGCATCAATTTTTTTAAGATATTCTTTGTAGAAACAAATACATCAAACTTTGTTATAAATGTTGTTTTATTACAAATAGAAGCAAATAATAAGCTCCACCTAATAGCTTTTTATTCCAAGAAATTTTTAATAGCCAAGATTAATTATAAGATCTACAAAAAAGAACTTCTTACAATTATAGATTCATCTGAAGAATGGCATCATTATCTAGAAGGTTCTTCTAATTTAATTACCATATATACAGATCAGAAGAACCTCAAGTACTTCATGTTGGCATGTATTTTAAATTATCACAAAGTTTATTAAAACATGTCTTTAACAAGATTTGATTTAAGATCACTTGTCAATTCAAAAAACAACAAAATTGATTAGATGTCATTTTTAGACATTCTTATCTTACACCAAAAGAAAGAGACATAGGCTATAATCAACAAAGAACAATTTTCTTGAAGTTTGAGCATTTTTATTTTTGAGCAATGAGATCAACATTGATTGTTGATTCAATCTTTCTTAAGCAAATTCAATCGAGTATGTCCTCTGATCCTCTTATTTATAATATTAAGAACAATTCTTCTAAGTCTCATGATACTTTTAAGTTTAAACTCAAAAATAATCCATATTATTTTAAAAGACAATTATATATTCTAGAAGGCAAAATATGATTACGTGTTCTTCAAGCTTGTCATGATTTTCTATCAACTAGATATTTTGGATACAAAAAGACTTTGAGCTAATATCTAAAGATTTTTGGTGGCTTCAAATATTGAAAGAAGTCAAAGACTTTGTACAATCATATAACATTTGTTGAAAATTAAAAACTCCTCGTCATCAATCTTATAGACTTCTTTAGCCATTACTTATTCTGAAACAACTATGGTCTTTTGTTTCTATGGATTTTATCATGGATCTTCTAATTTCAAGTTTGTATGATTTTGTATTCATGTTAGTAGATTATTTTATCAAAATAGTATATTTTGTATTATATACAAAATCTATCATAAATTAAAAAATAGCTAAATTTTTTCTTGATAACATCTATTACTATCATGGATTATTCAAAGATATTATATCAAATAGGAAGACCCAATTTGTATCAAGATTTTTAAAAATATTTTTTAAGATTTTAAAGATGGATATAAAGCTCTTTTTGGCTTTTCATCTTCAAACTCATAAACACATGGAGCACTTAAACTAAGTTTTAGAATAATATTTAAGATGTACCATCAAATACCAATAAAATGATTGGATAACTTATTTGTCATTGGCAAAGTTTGCTAATAATATGCTACATTCTTCTATGCAATAAATACATTTTTTTTATTAATTATAGTTATCATCTACAATTTGATGCTTTTGACTTCTCAAAAGATAATAATCCTATGGCAAAAGATTTGGTAAATTATTTATTTAAGCTCCATAAAACAATGAAGGCATAATTAAAAAAAAGTTCTAGAATAACAAAAGATTAATGCAGATGCTTATTGCAAGGAGCTACTTTAATTCTACATTAATAACAAGGTATGATTACTTTGTTGCAATATCAACACTAGCCATCCTTATAATAAGTTGGATTAATGTAAGCTTGGACTATTTTTTATTTATGAATAAATCAACCATATCGCCTATCAATTGTATTTACTAAAGTCTATGAAGATCCATCTTGTATTTCATATATCTCTTCTTGAGTTATATAAGACAATGAATATCTCGAGAAGAAGACAAATGCTACTTCTTTCTGTAAAAGTAGATAATAATGAAGAGTTTGATGTAGAAGAAGTCTTTAACTTAAGGTGGCACCGTAATAAGTTGAAATATCTTGTTCATTAGTGTAGATATGATATTAGTGAATGCACATGAAAATTAACAAAGAAACTTGCAAATACAACAAAGGAGGTTGATACTTTTCATTAATGACATCTATAAAAACCAAGATGAAGAAAAAAAAATCTTTACCATAAAAGAAACAAGATCTAAAGAAGATAGTATTCTATCTTCTATTGTTGTCAACAATTTTTATGTATTTGTTGTACTAAAAAATTGAAGAACCAAATATCAACAAATTCAATATAAGAGTTATTGTTTGCTGATTTATCACACAAAATATTAGAGTTGTACAACCTTCAAGACAACATAATATAATTTAATATTATACCAACTTTGAGTGATTATCTAGTCTTTTCAAGTGACACAAGAGTGTCATGATCTTTCAATTCTTTGAGATTCATGTCTTTAACAAGAATACAAGCAAAATTGAAAGTAACTTTAATTTTAATTTTCTTAGAATTTTATTTTTATATAGCTTTAAAAGAAGCCCTTCAAAAAAAAATCTAAAAATAAATAAAATTGAAATAGAGTGTTTTATACATATTTTGAAATACTATTAAAATTAGTAAGAAAAGATAGAAGAATCTACACAAAGTGAAATTTAATGCTTGTATTACAAATGGTATATGTTGTTTTAGATACAACATATATGTTTTTAAAATAATTTATATGTGTGATATTGTAAAGATCATTTTATATTTTAATGAGAGGATATTAAAAATAATTGAAAGCATCTTTTAATGAGTTTTAAAATAATTGAAGACTTTAATCATATATATATATATATATATGGAATTCTATTCTAAAATTAAGTAATTTAATTTTTCATAATAAATGCATCTTATAAATTTCTAAATATAATATCATGATACCAAAAAAAAATGTAAAGAATACCATTAAATTGTGAAAATTGCATAAAATGTATTGGTGGAATGTACACTGAAGTTTCTCATTGAATGGAAGAATGCTCATGTTTGAAATAAAATAAAATAAAATTATTACTACTAAATCTGAAACTAAATTGTAATACAAATGCATAAATAAATTCCTTTGAATTTAATCCTAATTAATTGAAATATGTATGTTATATTCTTTTCATGCAATTAAAAATTAAAATTTGATTTGTCTAACTTATACATACAATTAAATTTTGATAGTACTATGAATTTGATAACCACATTTGATTTAAAAATTAGTCATTGTTTATATCAGTTTTGTTTCTATAGGAGAGGTATCAACACATGGTGTTTGAATCATTCTTTTCCTAATCATGGATCCTACATTGGAGACAAGTCTTGAAGTACTATATATGAGTCAAAGCTTGTCCCTAACGAATTGATATAAACAAAATAAATATTAATACATGTTTGTCATTTTAACAGTCATGTATTAACACAGAAAGACTTATTGGATATTGAAAATTTTAACGACATAAATTAATATTTACTAAGTTTTATTTAACTTGAAACCTTTTGAACCTTATCATCTTGTTGGAATAGTTCAATGGGTAAAATTACTTGAGGATGATTTCTATTCATTGCATTTACGTTGACACTAGCTGAAACATTTTCATATTGAGAAAACTATGTTTTTGTAAGATTTTTGGTTAAGTTTCAAGTAACAATGTAAATGTTTTTAGGACAGTGGTCCAAATGCTTAGAATTCCAAGAGTCAAAAGATCAATCATCATTTTATATCACAGTTAAGTTGCTTACAATCAATGATAATCAAAAACTTAAGTTACAACTTGTTTAATTACAATAATCATAGTTTCATCTTGAGAATTAAGATAAAATGAAACGCATTGATACTGAGTATTACTTCATTTGTTAACTAGGAAAACCACAAATCCTTGCACAAAACAGTTCATCTTTAAGCTAATTTGTTGATGCCTCAACTGAAAGATTATCAACAATTTGTCAATGTAATATTAAATGAATTTTACTTGAAAACCACCCTCTTTGTTGCGAAACATTGAAGTAGTAACATCAGACTGATGATTTTTCAAGTAGAAATTTCAATGTTTTCAGTTAATAACACAATTTTCACTTGGCTTCCTACTCATTTGAGAAGTTGCTTGAAGCAAAAAAGAAAAAAAAAAAAAAAAAATACAGAGAGAAGAGAAACTTGCACACAATACAGCTAATCCCACAATTGGGTTGTCAAGGTACAGAACCAAAGCTCAGATATGAAAATAATATTGCTTGAACTTGAGTCTACGATTTGGTGAAAGCTTCATCGGAGACTTATGAAGACCACATGGTAAGCTTCTCAAAATCATTTACTTTGTAAGGGATCAGAATATGAGAGTTCTCGTGCTCTTTGTCGAAGAAAGTGGAGGGTATTCCTTCACAAGAGCTTCGTAGTTCACCAGGACCGAGCTGGAACTTGCACTCTACCCAGTCCAGATCCGGGTTATTGTGCTCCTGATTCATATCAGCCCGCATCTGTTTCGTTGATGTTGTTGGTGCTGCACAACGGCAGAGTTTCAAGGTTTCCTGAGAGCACAATTCTTGTAGTTGTCACCGCCGAAGGCAAACGAACTGTCTCTGGGATTCGTCTGCTGCAAAAAAAACAAGCTGGACCTGTGTCTGACTAATAGCTATTAGCTGAGACTTCGACTTGAAATGAGTCAAATTGGCGGACTCGGAAAAAATCGCCATCTGTTGGTTAATCTGAACGGTCTAGTAATTCATTAAAATTTCAGTCTAATCTGTTCAGTGTTCGTGATTCACATGTTCAATATCTCGCTTTTTTTTTATAGAAAGGTTAGAACTTACAATCGGCCAAGCAGCAATTTCAATGCACTGAACGCTAACAAAAATCATGAATAAGTCCATAGATCAACATGAATCAGTTCCTTGCATCTGCTGGTCTGGACTGGTCCTCAAAAACGACAAATCGGTGAACTTGTTATCACGGTGGGATTTCAGTGGACCTTAACATTGAACCACAGTGAAACCTTAAGTTTTTGATGAACAGAAACTTGGCGAAGGGCGTGGAGGAGCTTATCATGGAAGGACTAAACCACGCAGGGTAGACACAGGAGGAGCAGGCAGACCGTACAGGTGGATAAACTATAAAAAAAAGCTGATGGTTTAAAAGATTGACAAACTACGACACAGCAATTGCATCTCGAGCAGATGGTAGGTTGAACATAACCCTCAGACAGATCAAAACACAAACATTCAATGATAGTGTTGCGACAATTTGAGACAATTGGGAGACACAGTGATTTACACAATCTATATCAAAAATAGAAAAACATCGTCTGTCGGGCTCCCTTTGAGTCCAACGAAAGAATAATAAGCTAACTGAGAACTGAAAGGTTTTGAATGTTGATGATGAGTCAACTTGAATGAAGTTTTGAACCCTGATACAAGAAGGCTGACTGAAGCGGGAAGAATAATACAAAGGACTTCTGATCCCCAAGTCTGCGGTTTTCTTAAGCTACAATTGTTGATATTGTACATGCCAGGCAAGAAGATCCCTTCTGGTCTTATCTAGGAGCTCCCGACGTCTGCGAACTGAGTCGTCTGATGACACAGGTGACATTTCCGGTGAAGCTAGTGACACTTCAGAGGTAGCCTCCGAGGGAGCTCGAGGTGAGTCGCGAATTGAGCAAGTATGTAGAGGCGAGTGATGCACTGGAAGCGGAGAGGGGGGACACAATGGCAGTTCTTGACAGAGTTCCTTCACGAGTTTTAATTCGATGGAGAAAATATCTTGCACAAGCTCCTCCACTAATTCCTGAAGAAGCATGCTCTCCAACTCACACCCCACATCACCAACTTCGACACTGAAATCAAGCCACTGGAAACTCTTCCGCATGAAATCCTTTTGCAAAACTGCATACAGTGCGTCGTAAGCTGCACTGGTAGGCCAATGCATGTCCTTCAATTCATCCCAGACTTCGTCAATAAGACGCTGGCCACGAGGCATCCTGCGTACAACAGGAGTACCCCATGGTTGTGGATTCAGGTAAGGGCTCATCTTCCTTTCTAAGATCTCATTCATGCAGTCGAAAATCAATCTGCGATCAAGACTTTCTTTGTATCTGAGTTCTTCAGTTTTCTCCAGCTCCCCTCTGTCTATTCTCTCCAGCTCCTCTGTCTGCAACTCCTCCTCCTTTCTGGTGAACACTTCAAACTGCATAATCTCTGCTGCGTCCTCAGTTAACCGAGAATCTTCCTGGGTAAGTCCTGACTCTGTTAATATGCTCTGCACATAGAGCCTTTCCTTGCTTTTTTCAACAGAAATTACCTCAACTACGTTCCCATGTGTCTGGTGAGTGTCTACTATGAACGGAATCTGAAGATCTGCAACTAATTGACCTCGACAAATTTCCTTCTCATTCATCTCCAGAGTAGAGGCCAATTTGGTGTATATGTCTCTGAGGGGATCGGATGTGTCCTTGCTTGCCCAAGAGCGGGGCGTTAAAACCTCTGGCTCGGGTTCGCATGCGACTGCACCATCAAGGTGTGGAATAGCCTCAACATCTGCAAGAAAAAAACCAACAGGTTGTCAACCAGATACACGACCATCTGCCTACTAGGATCAAAGTAAAACAATGAAACGGTGTCAACCAAGAGTTCCTAGAAAGGTTTGAGCTCATTCGAACTTTCAAACAACATTTATCTTCCACTAGAAAACGCTATGTCAAAACTGTTGTTTATTACAAACGATGTTAAAGCAAAGCAAGAGAAAAACTACATGCACACCTTCATGTCCAGCCATAACTGACTTGACAGAATCGGGACTTGCACTCAGCTCCTCAAGGTGAAATTCTTCTCGGTAAATTGGGCTGTCAAGAACTGATACTGGACTTGGGTGGTCAGCCCCTTGAAGACCCAAAGCGCCATCTTCAGAAAAACATTTATCTCTTCCGGAGGAAAAGCCCTCTGAGATCTGTCCAACAGTACCGTCAAAAGCGTCTTCCATCTAAAACATATAAAATCAGTGACCAAGTTAGTGAAACTGCTTCTACAAAGAAACAGATAAGAAGAATATTGTAAACTGATGATAATCATGACCTCAGATCCCAAGTCATAACAAAGAACAATCGACTTAAGCATTTCTGTGAACAAGAATGTTAGAACTGAATCGTTTGTTATCACCTTGACATCTTCTTCTTCTTGTTCTTGCTCGGAGTGTGCAGAAGGAACAACTTGAGGATTCGGGACTACTTCAACAGAGGTACTGAAATCCTCTTCTTCATTTGAAGGACCCTTCACCTCGACTACAGGAGTAACAACTCGGGGCAGTTGAGGCTTCTCCTCTTCGAGCATAACAACAGGCTCTGCAGTTTTCCTCTTCTTGGGCGTCACTCTTGAATCAACATCTGGTATCTTCAACGATTCTTCTTGGGCCGTAGAATTCAAAGCTGAGCTAGATTCCTTATGGTCCTTAAGGTCAAGAATGGGATCCTGAACTACCTGATCTGCCGACGAGCTAGCCTCAGTGTTGCCACTTGAGGGCGATTTTGAGGATGCTTTTGCATTGAGATCGCCAGGATGTGATGCTCTATGCTTGTCCTTCGAGCGGCTCGACTTAACTGATGTTCTCTTATTTCGAACGACTGAAACTTGAGCAGAGACTTTGTCGAGGGAGGCATCCATAGCATCCACTGCTTCGGTCGAAGCTGCAGAAACCTGTAGGTCAGATTTGCTGCGGCCGACCATCTTAAACTTGTCTTCGTCATGACTAGAATACTCTTGCGCATCAGAGAGCACTTTCCTTGAAAGAGCATCATTCTCCTCTCTATTATTAAACAAGTATTCTTCAATACTTGCTTGCGGCCTTGGACTCCGACTCCCAGCCCTTCTCTCTGTTGAGCCTGCATCTCTAGCATCATACTGTAAAGGGCTTACTTCTCGAGACCGATGTTTTACCGGAGTAGAACTCTTGGAGCGAGAGTGCGGTTTAGCTTCTGCCATGTCAATTGAGGCCTTTCTAGCCGCGTCTGCTGCAATGCGTTCCCTCCAAGAAAGCATAACGTTGGCAAAACTTTGATCTTCAACCTGAACCTTGTCGGCAGATCTCTTTTCCAGAGATTCGAGAGAGTGAGACCTAGAAGCTCTACCGCTGCTGCCAGCTCGACGTTCAGATCCCCTTCCTCTGGTAGTCACACATCATGGGTCATGAAAACCTTAGAACTTGAACGTAGAAAACACAACTCACAGGTAAAGCCATAAATTAACAGAATGGCTTTTTAATACCAATGGAAGAAAGATTTATAACATCCAAGAATCAAAACATGAATTTGTTGATTGGATTAAATTCCACAAGCTTCAAACCGAAAAGATCTATTGGGGATGCATGAGTAAAAACAGAATCATAGATAGTTAAAACTTCTTTGGTTGTCGCCAACAAATCCCATCCAGGGAATGATCATAAGGTTAAAGTTTTCTCAGCTTGAAGAATTACCTGTGGCGGATCTCGATTTTTTCTCTCTCAAACCCAGAAGGACCCGATGTTTCTGAATTGAAATCAACGTCTTTGGTTGCAGGTGGAGGGGTAACAGGCCTGCTGGAGTGATAGTTAACAGGCTTCATCAGTACAATTGACGCTTCTCCAGTGTGATCAATATCAAGTGCTGGTTCTTCCTGAACATGGGGATCCATCCGAATTAAATCCTCAAAAGTCAACTGCTCCTGATAATCCTTGCGACTTGATCCTGTCATATTGCTCAAACTTGAAGATGCAAAATCATGTAACGGGCGTTGGGCTTCCTCTCGCAAAAAACCTTGTTCAAGGAGCTCTGCCCTAGGAGATTTAGGAGGCTTCTTTTGAGGTGGGTGAAGCAATCCCTTCAGGTGCATGGCTTCCAGAATTTGCTTGAGAGTTCTATGCTCCTGAATTGAGTTCTTGATGCGGAGCTGATGCAGCCTCTGGTCAAGGTCCCCGGAAGAAAGTTCTTGGGGTCTTTTGTTGAATACTTTCGGCATTCCTTCCATCTGGTGATGTTTAGGGGACATTGGTTGCCGGGGAAGAGGGCTTCCAGGATCACCTAGACGTCCAATTACACCATAGCTGTGATGATAGCCAAACCTCCGCGATTCCTTGTCTTCGTGGGCTGGAGCTGGAGCAGGCGGTGGAGAACGGGACCGCGACTGCGTCTTAGACTTCGTTTTGGGCTTTCGCTTAGGGCGTGTCTCCACCGGGACTTGCACAGACTTCTGACGCAGTTGTGAATCCTGGTGAAGACGAGCTGCGACTTGCTTCATCTGTTGAGCTACCTCAGTTAAATGAAGTTGTGATTTGCCCCAATCGGATTGTGGAGAAGTAGCTTCAGGTGGAGTCGTGACTGACAACTTCTTCGACAACTTTCCGTCTCGACCCTGAGGCTTATCTGAGTACGAGAGGGAAGTGTCTTTGTCAGGAAGTTCCGCTAATCCCATCAACCGAGCCACCACACTCGGACCGCGTCTCTTAAATTCCCCTGATGCACTGCTACTATCCATAGAGTTGGTTCTCAGCTGAACCTGTGCATCCACTGAAGACGCCCTCGAAGAATGAAGACTGCTAGCACGCAAATGCTCCCTACCATCCACAGAAAGCCGAGGTGTGCTCGACTGGTACTGGCGGCTATCAACTGAAACCCGAGACACGTTTGATGTGCGAGGTGGATCTCTACCATCGACGGAGTTGCGTGATGACCCATCCCGCAACTTCTCAGAAGCCCATTGAGAGTCCTTGAAGTCTATAGCCCTCAAAATTTCCCTTAGATCATAGGATCCTGACACACTTTCGGAAGACAGTTGAGATGTCTCTGGAACAACTGCAGGCTTCTGGAGCTCGCCACGGTAACTATCTCTAGGAGCAGGAGTGTGAGTACTTTCCCTAACCTGCACGTTCAACCTAGCTAAGTCTCTGATATCAATTAAGCTTCTAGGTGATCTGGGCGGCAGATCCCTGGCAGAAGACCTAGGCGGCAGGTCCCTGCTGTATCCTGCAGGAGATTCTTTCTCTTTAAAATTAGGCACACGAGTATCAACAGATAAACGGAGCTTCGCAGCCTCTTGTGAGGCAATAGAGGAATTCGAGCCTCGCTGTCTTCGCTCTCCTCTGGATTCTACAGAAGAGTTTCTCCTACGTACCTCCTTCGAACCAGCAGGTATCAAGAGGCTAGGAGCAACGTTAGCTTCATGGGCGACCCACTCTACGGTTCTATCGTTAGAGCGGATGTGCTGATATTCATCGGTAATTCCCCTCGAGGCAGTGACAGACTCGTATTTACGACCTTCTCTAACAGACGACCTGCTCCTGTCAGATCGCTTCTCATCATTTGATGAACTGTATCTCCTGTAAGCATCTTCGTTGCCCGATGAGTACCTTCTGTGTGCATCTGTCACAGAAGAGTAACGTCGAGCATCATCTCGAGCATTGGTCCGATTTGGTTGTGGGAACACCTCTCTGTCCTCATCAGAAGACTCATTCCTCCATCCATTATAGCTGTCAAGAGGCGGCTCATGCCTCTTGCCACCTCTCTCCTCAGCAGACGCATACATCCTGTGCGTTCCCCTTTCATCCCCAGAAGAATGATACCGGGGACCTTCAAAGCTACTAGTGGAAGATTGGTGTCTAGAACCCTTCGCAGAGTACGTATGATGCCTGTTTCCAAACTTCTCTTCATCAACAGACTGGTGTCTATGGCGGTTATTCAGTTCGGTAGCTGCCTGATGCTTGTGAACTGAGATGAATCCGGAAGAATCTCTACGATGCACGTCCTTGGAAGACACACGTCTCTGGCCACCCCTTTCATCCCCGGAAAAGTGCATGCCTTGAATTTCTCTGCCTGCATCGTGGGCATGAATTCTTCTCCCTTCGGCTCTTTCTTTTGATGAGGGATGCTTGTGACCCCTTTCATCAGAAGACGCAAGCGAGCGACGACTTCGGGTAGAGGGGTAGGGTCTCTGCACAACTCTCTCATCTCCAGTGGATGACTCGTATGCATCGCCTCCAGATTGATGTCTTAGACCATCCCTGTTATCCATGGGCCAGTAACTTCTGTTACTTTCAGGATCCTGAGATGCACGGTGTCTCACACCATCCCTGCGTTCAACGCGTTGGTGAAACCTCCGAGCTCCCCTCTCATCCCCAGATGACAAATTCGACCTCCGACTATCCATTTCATCACCAGAGGACATATACCTGGCGATTTCCCTGATGTGGCTTGGCGCTTGGGTCTTGAGGCCTTCGTCAACATGCCAAGAACGCAAGAACTCCTTCCCCTCAGAAGGAAACTGGGGTCTGTGATGGTCCGGTTCATCGTCGAAGGCGTGCTCCTCATAACTCTCAGCAACCGAGGAGTACCTTCGAGCGTCCCTTGTCTCACTAGCTGAAAGATGCCGATGACCGTCTCTTTCGTCGCCCGAAGACTGATAGCTGCGACCATCCCTGCGATACCTGTCACCTTCCCGTTCATCACCAGAGGAATGGTAACGCTGCACGTCTCTCCTTGTGACAGAAGATGAAAGCCGGGGAGCCTCTCTCGCCTCAAATGCTTGTTGTGCTGGCTCCCTCATCTGCATGATCGCTCGAGAAATATCTCTTGCGTCGTTGGGATATGCCACCGTCTCCACGGTCGTCCTTGACCTGTCCCTGTGAGATGAGGGTTTAAATGCACTCCGTGTATCTCGAGGTGGAAGCTTGGAACCATCTTTGACTCTGTGATCCACAGAGCTCCTAGACGGAGCCGCAGACTTCGGCGTAACAGCGTCAGATAAATAGCTCTCAGGGATCTTCGAGGTATCCTTGTAACCACTCGCTTCACTCTGGGTTGCTCGGGGTGACCGGGATTTATTAGCGGCGAAGCTAGGCTTTTGAGAGTCAGTAGATGGTCGGGCAGAATGGGGCTTCTGCACGTTTTGAGGCTCTTTGGAAGCTGCCAAAGTCTTCACCACGACCTCGCTAATGTCTGCAGAGGAAGACCTACGAGAGTCCCGTGAAGCTTCTGACCATGCCTGATCAGACGGTGCTCTCCTTGCCACACCATCACCTTCAACCTGCTTTCATGTGCAGATTCCATAATCGTTCAGAAAACTAGAAAGCCCGTAATGAGAAAATGCGTAAATTCTACGAAAAAATAGTCATTACAGTGGGATCTAACGCATCATTGCAAGGCAATATCAATGTAACTCTCCATGAAGAAGCTGGAGAATGTAGACGAATTTACCAAATAGTATTTCGGAACCGCTTTGACGTCGGAGTCTCCTGCAGTTCAAAATCTTAGAGCTCAGTTTGACTGACCAGCTAGAAGAATAAAGAACGAGCTTTTTGTTCTTCGCATGCAAAATGAACTACCCCATACGAAGACATCTGTGACCATTTCAAAGTTTTGAAGTGGCAACGATTTTATCTCCTTTTCATACAATACCCTAAAGCGCAGTGACAGATGATCTCCAGATATCCAAAGACTAACGATGTAAGACTAGAAAGCTCACCATTTTTGCTCCTCCTGCTATCATTTTTGGCATAGGACTTCGACTTGTAACGGTCGAATATCTGAAAAATCCCTGTCATAGCCCTCGTCTCCTTCTCAGCGAGGCTGATCTGGACCTGTAAATTATCATTCGCTTTCCTGGTAACTAAGGAAGCTCGTCAGGATACACTTGTCTCACGGCCGTCCCACCTCCCCAGCACATTGCTGTTCGAATTCCGTAATAATCGGCAGAAACCAATCCCGAATCCAAAGCCGCTCACCTGCGATTGTAATAACAAGAGTTTCAATCGAAAAGCACGGACCGTGGAACCAAGGGAAAATATGTGTTAACTCCTAAGGTTAATGGACCGTTCTTTCACCATTACACCCAGGTTCCACATTGACTCAAAGCGTGGTGAGGCTTCCTCAGGATGGGGAGCATTCCAATCAATTCAAGTGTGCTTAAACTGCACTGGATAATTGTGCATAACAGGTCGCTTACATATATACTTTCAACAGCAGTTCTACAAGATCAAATCGCCGTCAACCCAGTACTCCCAGATATCTAGTCCGATTAAGGACTGAGAATTTGTGAAAGAACAAGTGGAACTGCACAGCGCTGCGAAAAGAATTGTGCGACACACTAAGCAAGATCGTGCTCCACCAATGTGGCCGCTAACGACTTCCAGTGTCACCTACGCACAATACCGTCAAAATATACATCCTGCGGCAACACTATTTCGTGTCCACAAATCATCGCCTGACGTGAAACGCAGGTATTGGGACTATACTCTAAATATTTGTCTACAACCAGTGGACATGCCACATACAGATGCCACAGCGAGTGCAGAGATCAACCACCGCTTCGCTTTACGGTCTACAAGGCAAAGCTGTTCAATCCCTCGGGGCGAAATTGACGGACATTCACAACTCACAATTTGAATACTCAGCACATACGTTAATCCATTTCACTCGCAGACCCACTTCCACGTCTACGAAGAAGCGAAGCTCTCTTCCCACCCACCGCCTGAAACCGTCTGCCACATTGGCTCCTCAGGAATCATACGCCGTGCACACCCCCACACCTAAAACCCACACCCACCCGACTCAAACGCAGAACCTACGCATCCTACTACTACAGTACACCAACAACCTCCCCCCACGCTAAACCCACAGATCCGAAAAATAAGATCCCCCGTTACAATTAGGCCGCCAACCTCCCCTAAACCCCCCACACAGCTGCCCCCCAAAAACGAGCGTCGCATCACCTGTTATAACCAGTACACTCCTGCATCCATCATTGTCCAAGGCTACGCATTCCCCACCTCGTTGCTAGCTACAACCTCACTCCATTGAACAACTCGTGAAACTAGGAACAACAGCCGAGACGGGGATACAGAAAGGGAGGGAGAGAGAGAGAGAGAGGAGGAGGAGGCAGCAGGGAGGAGCGAACCAGAATAGCTGTGTTGCACATTGTGGAGCAACTGAGGCGCGAGGCAAGCGGGGTCGAGTAGCGCGCCGTAGCCAGGTTTGGCGCGAGTGCCAGAGCTGCAAAGGGGGTCGGGGGGGGGGGGGGGAGACGATGAGAAAAAGGGGCAACAGGGGAGGAGGAGGAGGGGATTCGAAATACCGCGAAGAAGGAGATGAAATCAAGCACACAGGCACGGGACAACGGGGATGGAGATGAAGGGGATGGCGATGGCGATGGCGGTGAAAACGCAAGAGCCCTGCGAGCGAGGGCGAGGACGAGGGGACAAGAGGGGGAAAGCTCGGCGGCGCAGCGACAACTTCGCGCTTCGCCTCCGCGCAGCTTTGGTGTATACTGTTCCAGGGAGTGGGGTCCGCTGGCGGGCCAATGGCATAAAAAGTCCACTTGGCAATTCTCGTTCTGCTCGCGTGGCAGTCCACTGAATAGGGCAGGTGATCACCCCACCCCTATTACCGCCCCTTATTTCCCCTCCCCCCCTCTCTCCCTCCCACCGTTAGCGACGTGCTTCGTTAACACTTTTCTACTGTCCACCCTCTCTTTTTAATCTCCCCATCACTGTACAAACAGAAAAGTAAAAAATCAGTTGCAAAGGGTTGCTTTTCTTAATTTCTTTTTCTTTTTCTTTTCCTCTTCCTTTTCTTTCTTACTACCCATGTCGACATATATATATATATATATATATTTTGATGCTGGTGTTGTGGAGGAAATAATAGACACACAGGCTCTATCGAAGCTGATGGAACCATGAGAAGGGGAAATTTGACAAGCTAGTGAGGCGTACTGAAAAACACTTTTCCGATGACTTCACTCCGACTCACTGATTTCCCAGTCAGTTATTATAACCTTTGTACCTTTCCATTACACTACATATTTACCTTCATGGTTGTGGTTAAATCAAAACAAATCAAAAAGCATGCGGAAGGGGGGGGGGAGGAAAAAAAAAAAAAAAAAAAAGTATGCGGAAGGGGAAAATAAAAGTATGTGGTTTCAGAACCTTGAACGAAGATCTGATGAGGGTCATGTTTCTTTTATTCTTTTGCTTCTTTCCGTGTGTTTTTTCAGTTATTTATTTATCTATTTATTTATTTATTTGTTTCTATCTATTATGATCATGCTGTTATGGTGTTTGCCGTTTCGGATGTTCTGAATCATTAAGTGATGAATGTACACTCTGATACTAATTCATGGGTGTGAATATATCATTATCCTCCCTCCTAAAAATCGCTGATCTTATTAATGATATGGCCACATCACCCTAAAGATCTGGATGATAGCAAAGTCCCAGTTTAAAGTGTAATTAATTAAAACACTCTAATTAGCTGTTACGTAAAACCCATAAACTTACACTGGGAGAACATATTTTTTAACGTATGCTTTTTAAAGTAAGATGTAAGGATGTTGAGGTTTTGAATTTGATTTTAATTTTTCATAATCCAGCATAGCTTACTATATTTAACAAGTGTCCTGGAATTAAGCTAGTTCTAATTGTTAACAAATATTGCCACTGGTATAGGATTTGGAAGATCTGTATGCATGCATAAAAATGATACGTGACTAAATGTAAAGAAGTGTTAAAGTAAGAATATAAATTAAAATAAAATAAAATAAGCAATGTTGTTAAATGATAGAAGATATGCTTAATAGTATTTATTGGAAGTCAATTGTCAGCCAAGGTCCTTGCTTACATTGTTTAACATCAAGCTGAAAAAGAAATAATATTAATAATAATGTGCTTATCTAAGGCTTTTAGACCATAAAGGTGAAAGTCAGAAAGTGTGGAGGATTGTTTTTTCTACTACCAAGAAAAAAAATATCAAAAGATGATGCTAGAAACAATATCCTATTTCATCCAACAGTTAAGTGTAGGATATTGTATTATCATTGTCACTATATTTTTTTCTTTTTCTATTGCCACCACAACTAATTTATGATATGCTTTTCAAATCATTTGATAAAACAAAAAATTTGATTGGAGTAAAAAAAAAATAATAATAAAAAAAAACTAAAGAAATGTCATATGGTTAGGACTAATTGTGGTAGCACTAGCAAAAAGTTATAGTAACATTAACAAAAACTCTTCTTTAATTAAGTATGTATATATATATATATATATATATAGAGAGAGAGAGAGAGAGAGAGAGAGAGAGATTCTATAAAGATATAAGAAGGTTTCATAGAAGTGTTACCTTTTGTCTCATACTAAAATAAATAGAATATATATAAAGAAATAAAACTAAAGATGTCAGTTTTTTATTTTTAGAATGAATTAATAATAAAAGTCTAATAATTTGAGGGTTTTTTTTTAAGGTAATTTATGCATAGATTTTAAAAAGTCAATTGAAGTGAAATTGAAAAATCTTTGAGAGTCATAATATTTTGCCAAAAGCTTAGTTAATCAAACTTATTTATATGACTCTTAATTATTTTCAATCATTCATGTCTACTATTATCTAGAAAGAGACTACAAAAAAAATGGCATCCAACAACATAAGATGGAATACACTAGCAGGAGCGTCAAACCAAAGTTTAAAATGTCACATGTTTAATCCACACTTACCACGTTGTTTTTACTCCGTAATTAAGAAACTTTAGTAACAACGCCAATGGTTGAAAAAAATGCCTCATGGTAGTATTGGCCAAAAATTATGGTGGTATGTGATGGATGGTTAGTTGTGGTGCAAATAGCTCAAGTTGGGGTGACAATAGCAACACCATATGTATGTATATATATATATATATATATATATAATTTTAATCTATAAATTATAAAAAAAATAATATTTGATTAATAAACTTAAATTTTGCATTGGTACTATGGTATAAAATTTTAAGTAATATACTTAACTAAATTGAATATGGTTTTTTATGCTCTTAAAATAACTTTATAAAACTATTTGACAAGGTTATTTGATTGTTTTAATATTTTATTATTAATAAACATAATATATAAGAAAAATTCTATATTCGTAAAGACTCACAATAAACTAAAGAAATATTTATAGTTTATTTAAAGTCCTTAATCTTCATACTATATTATAAGGTAAAAAAGAAGAAAAAAAGGAGAAAAAAAAACATAAATTATATTATGTCTTCCTTATTTTAATTATTTTAATATATTCATTTTACCTATATTAATAAAAAATTTAAATTATATTTTTTAATATATATATATATTTATTTAATCTAATATATTTATTCTTAAATTATTATAAAATACTATTTATGCCATATAAGAAAATAATATTAATGATTAATCCTCCAACTTGTGTGTAACTTGAATAAAAGGTTCATACTTACTTACTTAGTCTAAATAGGATTTTATATTATGTATAAATTCATACTTACACACACTTGTTTTAATTTGATGTTTTCTAGCAAAGTAAAAGCCACCAAAAAGGAAAACCATGAAGGTTGTGTCGGAGCAAATGAGCACCACAATTATAGGTCCATCTATTTGTCCAACCTTTCTGGACTTTTGTGTTGCACTAATAAGACGATACTTTGTGGGTCATTGCAAACTGAACCACCCACAACCATTCACATGGACAAAGAAGCTGTTCCGACTGCTTCTTCAAAACAATGAATTGTTGCCCTTAAAGTTTCATACAAACTTCCTAAAGAACAACTTCACTTTTGGCAGCAGTAGAACTGGCATGGCATGGTAAGAAAAGGACGAACTAACTAAATCAATACATATACATATACATATAAATATAATCCAACCAATCCCAAACCCCAGACTGACAAGGAGGGTAACATACATACATACATACATACATACATACGTACGTAGAGGAGGGTCAACCTCAGATTATTCAGTCAATGTTCCTGTAAGTGCCCGTGATGTGCGAGGAGTTCCCCTCTGATACAGCCCCTTCAACTGCCCTCCCCACTGCCCTCTTTTCCCACTGCACCGTTGCCCCAACCCCCCTTTGAGTGAAATGGGGGAGTACTGCTCTGTTCTGTGGCAGGACTTAGTTGCTATTCATTCATTCATGAGGGGATTGGTTTGTTTGTGCATCTCGTTTGAGACTGTTGTTGTTTCACTTTTGCCAGGCTCTGATCTCCATGGTCCCTTCCTTGACTTTCAGGGCCTGGCCCAGGCAGGCGCTCAGATAGGGGAACACCACCCTCTGTGCTTGTCAGAGCTTCTCCCCCCCTTCATTATCTGGATATATATATATATATATATATATATACATATATAAGCAACTGTTTGTTTGTTTGTTTGGTTATCTATCTATTTCTTTATCTACGAGTGTTGTTATGTAATTCTTCAGTGTAAGCTTCATATGGGTTGTTGAGGGGATTTGCAAGCCTGTGGGGATTGAGCTTTGCATCCCCCCCCCCCATGACAGTGCAAACTAATCCAGTCTGGTGAGTGAGTGACGGACGGATGGATGGATGGATAGATGGATGATTATTGGATGATAGAGAGTGAG